TCATCCAAAGTGTTGTAACGTGTTGGCACTCAGTAAATTTTTTAAAAAATTAAACCCAAATAACAGAAGGCGGACCAGTGGTGGTATTTCCATTTAATCTGGGAGAGAGAAGGGAACGGATGCAGGTTAAATGGTGCGTCCAAAGTCTTAATTAGTGGTTGGAACCAAGATCAAGTTCTAGGTTTACTGGTTTTTAATCTATTATACTTTTTTCACCCCCTTACACCGTTCTGCAAGGAATCAGTTAAAATATATCACAGGCTCTTGGGTTTCTTGAAGGATATAGAAGGGTAAGTTGGGGTTTCTTTCCTTCAGGAGAGGACAAGTCGTTAGGAAATCAGAAGTTAGCTATATCTACACCGTTGAATAGTGATGCCAAAATAATATCGTCACAGTAAATAATGCAGGCATTGCATGTCCATGACTTTAGAAAGAGGTTAGTGAGGTCTAGAGTGGTTCATTGACTCCAGAAGGAGAGCTGACCTTGATCTGAACTTGGAAGCAGGGGTTTAGGGAAAAATGGGTCATTCCAGGTGGAAAAGCATAAAATCAGAAAAAGTGTAGAAGAGGAAACAACCTATACCTTTGCTATACCCGGTGTGGCCCAGGCCAGCGGCCTTGACCTCAGCAGAGCTCTTTAGAAACGCAGGCTGTCCAGTCCCTTCAGCGCCTAGGGAATCAAACTGCACGTCAGAGCCTGTGAGGGGCTGGTGGGCTGTGCAGTTTACTGCTGGCTGAAGAAACATCCCATTTGCCCCCCAGCATAGGTTGGTCAGATATGAGTGAATTAGGTAAAGATGTACTACTGGTGTCCGTTCTTACTAGATGAACACGACATTTATCGAGGTGTTGGTTTGCTGAAAGGTTGCCAGAGCTGAGGTCCAGGCCCAGGTTTATAGCTCTCATGTTTTTTTAGCAGCACTCAGTGGGGCGTGGCGTCTGGGGAATTGAATAGGCCGGCTCAGAGCTCGGACCCGGAGCAGGCAGCAGCAGGCCACAGGTGGGGATCCGGGGTGCTGGGCCATTTATCACGTGTCCATTCCTGGGCTTTGACCAGAAGAGCTTCATGAGGCGTGTCTCAGGGAGACTGATGTGGAGGGATTGGATTAGAGTCCGGAAGAAACAAGACTTAGAGACACCAGTTACTCAGGACACAACAACTAAACATTTTTAAGTTCAAGAAAATGCGTCATATATCAGTAAATCACCTTAAAAATATTTATGGAATGCTCCCTTTGTGCTGGGCCCTGGGCAGCTGGTGGTACCCATGTCGTGCGTTTGGCTTAGTCAGTTAGACTCCTGAGCACCAGGTGCCCGGAAGGCTAACAATAATGACAAGAATGAAATCACTTCTGATTTTTCCTGCTTATTTTTTTCTCTGGAAAAAGCTCTGGCTCCAAAGTCAGGTGGCTCCCAGTCTCGTCCCGGTTTTGCTATTAGTGCTACTGGTAACCTTGAATGAGTCACTGATAGCTCGGTAGCTCATTTTTCCTGCTTCGAACACACATCCTACTGCTCGTGACTTCACAGGCGAGACATTGTGATGGGAGAATTACGGAGGCGGTTTTGGTTTCCTGAGTGTTACAAAAGCTTATAATGCTGTTAAACATAAAATGGCTTTTTAAAACCTTCGCTTTCTGAAACTTTTAAAATTTCAATCCCCGAGTGCATTTTAGTCACTTTTCTCATTATAATTATATTGAGAGGGAACAAAGCCCCAGCCATCTGTGGTCTTGCTCTCCTTCCCTGGAGGTGGCACTGGAGAAGATAATGATTTATTCGAGGTGTTGTTAGTCCCCCTCCGAAGGAGAATGGATGGCGGTTTCTCATTGTGCCTCCAAGGGCCGTCTGCTGATGGGTGCGATTCATTAGACGAGAGTGTGCGGACGTGTGTGTGCCTGGTAGTTGTGGAACAGGAGCGTGAGAGGAGACTTTTACTCTGCAGGGAAGAAGCAGGCTGTGAGCTCTGGGGCAGTGGGGCAAGAGGAGACCCAGCCCGGTGTCCCGTGTATAGGCAGAGCAGCCTGTGACCAGATCAGGGCTAAACCTTTGGTTTCATAGGACCAGGAGACCCGTGTGTGGCTCCAGGGGACCCAACAGGAATCTCTGCGCAGAGTTTAAGCATCACCTTTCACCTCATTGTCATGGTGCCCCTTCCATAGCGTTTATCACGTGGTATCAGAGCTGCCTGCCTTCCTCCTCGGTCTCCCTAATCTTTAGCAAAACCGAGCCTGGCCACGCGTGTCAGACGAGACACAGGCTGGGGCTGTTCTGTGGAGCCTGCACTGCATAGGCAAGCTGCATGTTTCTGGTCCATCTGGGGACATGAAGCCATGGCCCTGTGTGTTCATTCGGGGGGGAGTGCATGTGTTCATGTGCATGGGGGGACAGGGGAAACCTTGTGAGGGGTGCTGGAGGGTAGAGAAGGTGAGAAAGGTGGAAAGTCCTCACTCAGCCTATAGGTTGCTGGGAATATGACCGATGAATGCAGATAATACTGACTCACTAGGTTTCCCTGCTCCCTGCAGCATGAATCCGTCCAGAACTCCACCACCTCTGTTTTCCAACTGCCTCCTACACACTGTGGTTTCTGCCGAGAATGGCAGCCTCCACAAGGCAACATGGCCTAGATTGGAGGACCTTTGGAGCCTTTCCTCCTTTGCTTAGAGCATTGCTTATCCCAGAACAATCCAGATAAGGATATGATGTGTTAACATGTTTCCAGCAAGCACTCGGAGCAGTGCCTGGCCCGTAGTTAGCATGAGAGAGGTGCTTGCTGTTATTAGCAGTGTTCCATCCTGGTCATTTCTTCGTACATTCACTTGGTGAGTGTGTGATGCTACGTATCTAGGCCCCGAGTGATTTGCTTTGGAAGCCCAAAAGGTGAACCAGACGGAGCTCCCGCCCTCAGGGAGAGTGCATTCCAATAGGAAAAATAAATCAGCAAGTACGCACATATATTGCAGTGAAGAAAATGATAGGAATCTAAGAAAGGTTTCGATGGAGCTTTGGTGGGTGGGGTGGTGAGCAGAAGCAGAAGGGGGCTTCTGGAGAAAACCTAGAGGAAGGCAGGATGGTAGGAGGCGGCATCCGAGTTGCAGGTTGGAGGATGGGAAAGGCTCAGACATGTACAGCAGGAGGAAGCACTTTCCAGGGAAGAGACTGTGGGAACAAAGGCAGAAAAGGGCAAATCTGGAGAGACAACGTGACTAGCTTGCCTTGCTGGGTCGAAGGCCATGCATTTACCAGAACCGAGTTTTGCGTCATTTCCTGAGTTTCCTTGCCCCATTTTCTATTTTCATTTCTTTACCAATCAATGAAATTTCAGTGGGTTATAATCAGGAGGGGCAGTGACTAAAACCGACTCGAGTGACTTTATAATTATAGCTGCTGCTAAATGTATCATCTCTCTGTTGTCGTAATTATTAAGGATTCTATTTTTATAAGCCGATGGCCTCCTGTTCTAAAACTTCCTTCATAATATGCAAATAGGGCCAAGGAAGCAATTAAATCCAGAAACATGTTTTGTTTTGAACTTTCCAATAAATCACCCACGCAGGCTGACCTATGGCAGCTCCGTAATCTCGAGAGGCCGGCGGCCATTCTGCTCCAAGTAGATCGGGGCTGCCTTCCATCCCGCAGCCCACTGAGAGGGGAAAGTCACAGCTTGGGTTTTACACTGGCTTTCTGTTTGACACTCACAATGTCACGACTTCTTCACTCTTACCCTGGCAGTAATCTCTTCATCTACTCGTGACGAATCACTGTGCCTTGGTACTTTAGCTTATCTGCTTCACAGCTGAGTGTGCCCCCGCACACTGGTGTGGAAGGCACTGGTGGGGGGCACTGAGGAAGGGACACACGCTGTGGGCAGGTCCGCCCGCCTTGGTGTGCCCCAGGAACATGCCATCGGTGGGGGTGTCACTGTGTCTGCTGAGCAGTCACGAGTGTGTGTGTTTCAGACCCTTGTTCTGTTTAAAGGTGTGTTCTCACACATTGAGTTCTAAGTTAATGGGGATAATTTCTTAAAATAACAATTTCTCACTTGGGAGAAAGCTCATCTGTTTTCTTAATACATGTTCAGCTTGAAATAATCATCCAGCAACGAGAGCAGACGTCAGTGGAAGTCCACAGCATAAAAGGCTGCATTGGGCCTGAGAGCTTGCAGGTGAAGAGCCCGGAATAGTCGGGGACAAATGGCATGTATTTGTCAATACGTATTGACAACCAATACGTATTTCTTAAATGAGTAAGATATTTTTTTCCCTTTGGGGAGATAACTATGGAGATTAAACGATGGTTAAGTACAACCAAAGGTTATAAAGTGAATATCTCTTCCTGGAATTTTGAATTTCTTCACATTGCATTGTAAGTTGTATATGCAAATATACATATGCAAATATATCATAATATGCAAATAGGGCCAAGGAAGCAATCAAATCCAGAAACATGTAAAATACATTTTAAAAATGTATTTTAAAATATCACTTAGTCAAGTACATATATTATGTTTGCCTGCTTTAATAAAACACCCTCGCCTGGGTGCCCACCCTCTCATATGTGTGCTTCACATGCATGCGTGTGTGTGTACTGCTTTCTGACACATTTAACTGTGCCAAAGGGTTTTCTTGTTTAAATAGTGAATTCAAGGCCAAGATACTCCTGGAGACTGGTTCATGCTTATCTGAACTGGGGGTTTAGTGTTGAGGAGAACACGGTTGGAATGTTAGTCTTCTAAATCTGAGCCAGTAAGATCTCCCCCTCCACCCACCCAGTGTTGAACCATCTGTGTGCAGTTGGAAAAAATATCAGGTGCTTTACATGGGGAATCACTGATGGCTTCATAGCAATAATAGATCACGAAGCTTCCTTTTTACGTCTTTCTCCTTTGTTTCTGATAGTCTAGTTTCTGTAGCTCATGAAAACACCGGTCTTGCAAGGTTTGTGAGCTTATGGATTGTGTTTCCAGCACAGACGCTTTTGTGTGTTTGCTCCTCCAGCTCTATGTGGCCACGGAGGCCATCCTCATTGCGCTGATCGGGGCCACGCCGTCATACCACTGGGACCTGGCAGGGCTCCTGGCCAATCAGAGCCACGGCGGCCAGAGGGCTGGTGAAGACCGGGCCCTCGGAGCCTGGCTCCTGAGGGCCAACGGCAGCGAGATCCACAAGCACGTGCACTTCAGTGGCAGCTTCACCTCCATCGCCTCCGAGGTAAGCCGGGAGCGGGGGACAGGGGAGGAAAACAGGCGTTGGGGTCACTACATGAACACGTCTCCTGGTCCCAGGGGAGCCGCCTTTTTGTCTGTTGATTTGAATTTCAGCCACATCTTTAAGTACCTTTCTAGTAAATTTCAAACACATAATTTTTCCTTCCTACTAAAAATGGGAGAAGCATGAGTCTTACCAAATTCGTTAAATGAAGATAGAAACTCCAAAAGAGGTGCCCTTCAATGATAGTGTCCTGCTAAAAAGTGAATGGAAATGCCCATGCTGGTTCATTATGGACACAAAAATCAATGAAGTAAAGAGAGAGATGTCACGACCCATCTGGAGCATCCAAGGTTCATGTTTAAGTCCAGTCTCGGGTGCAGACCACATGACTATGCAGCCTCAGATACAAATGTACCACTTCCTGTGGGCAGGAGGCCTTGTCTTCCAGTGGGGCTTTGCTGGCCAAGAAAGTTCTGAAAAGGACTGAACCTTCTGGGCCAGTCAGAGGTGAATAAGCTGCGGGTAGACAGTTTGGCAAAGAGAGACCCCGGGATGTAGGGCCAGGCTCATGCTCAGTTGGAAAGCACCTGTACTGGCCGGTAACATGTTAAAACAGTCTATGTTCTCCGCCTTCTCCCCGAAAGCTCTCCATTTGCTCAGTGCTATCCTGGAAGTTTCTCCTCCATTCAAAAATTTTTTGAGTTTATGTCATAGTATTGAATTTTATAATATACATCGATTTGCCATTTTCTACATCAGTTGCAATGATCCTCCTGTGATTTTTTTCTTTACCTTCTAACAAGGTGGATTATACTAATTGATTTTTAAATATCGAACTAGCCTTACATGTCTGGATGGCATAGAATTATTTTTATATATCGCTGAATTCTATTTGCTAATATTTTGCTAAGGATTTTGGCTTCTGTATTCGTGATGGATGTTGGTCTGTAGTTTTGGGGGGTTTTGTATTCTTTTTATCTGGTGTTTGTATGAGAGTAACCCTACCTTCATAAAATGAATTTAGAAGTGTTTCTATTTCCTAGAAGAAGTTATGTAGAATCGATGTTCTCTAAACATTTGTTAGCATCCTCCATTGAAATCACGTTGGCCTGTAGATTTCTTTTTGAGGAGTTTTAAAATTATAAATCCAATTTTCTTAATAGTTACGGGGCTATTTAAACAATCTATTTTGTATTGTGAATTGGTCCATTTCATCTAAGTGGTCAAATGTATATATAATAGAGAAAGAGTGGTTCATAGTATGATCTTATTATCCCTTTGACATCTTCGGAGTGTGAAATGATATCTCCTCTTTGATTACTTGATATTGGTAATTTGCATCTTCTCTCTTATTCCATGACTTGTCTGCCCTGAAAGAGGCTTGCCAGTTTTATTGATATTTTTAAAGAGCCAGCATTTGTTTCATTGATTTTTCTCTGTTGTTCTATTTTCAATCTGATTGATTTCTGCTCTGCTCTTTATTATTCCCTTCCTTCTCCTTGCTTTGAGCTTATTTCTGCTTTTTTTCCAGTTCAAGAGGTGGTAGCTTAGAGTATTGATGATAATCTTCCTATTTTCAAATGTAAGCATTTAGTGCTACACATTTCCCTCTCTGGATGGCTTTAACTGTGTGCCACAAGTTTTGACATGTTGTATTTTAATTTGTATTTAACTTGATGTATTTTTTTTCTCTTGGAGATGTCCTGTTTGACCCATGGATTGTTTAGAAGTATGCTGTTTAGTTTCCTAATATTTGTAGATTTTCCCATTAACTTTCTCTTTTTTATTTTGAGTTTGATTTTATTGTTGTCAGAGGATATATTCTGTATGATTTCAATTCTTCTGGCCCAGGATGTGGTCTTTCTTGGTATATGTCCCATTGGCACTTGAACTAAATGTATGTTTTTGTTGCTGGTGAGTGAAGTGTTTTATAAATGTTGTTTAGGTCCTGTTGGTTGATGCCGTTATTGAGTTCTTCTGTATACCTGCCAGTCTTCTCCCCAGTTGTTCTATAGATTGTTGAGAGAGAGAAGCGTTTGCGTCTCTAATTCTAATCATGGATCTATCGATTTCTCTTTTTATTCTTCTCAGTTCTTGCTTCACATATTCAATAGCTCTCTGGTATGGTATATGCATATTTATGGTTGCTATGTCTTTTGCTGGATTGGCCGTTCTACCATTTTATAATCTTCTTTTCTGTGCCTGGTAATTTTTTTTTTGCAACACATGATAATTTTATGAAGCTCAAATTTTATTCTCCATAGCTCAACTGTTACTGAACACAGCCACGCTGTTTTGTTGAGGCGTTGTTGATGGTGATTTGCATGCTGGAATGGTGGGGTTGAGTGGTTGTGACAGACCGTAGAGCCAGAAAAGCTGAAAATATTTGCTACCTGATTCTTTGTCCCTGGTAATTTGTTCAAAAATGTGCTTTATCTGATATTAATATAGCCACTCCTGCTTTCTTTGATTAGTGTTAGCATGATATATATATTTTATCATTATATGTGAAGTTTGTTTCTGGTAGACAGCATATAATTGAGTCAGGTTTACATTGCCAATCTTTGTGTATCTCGGTAATCCACACTTAATGTAATTATATGTTAGGGCATACCTCTCCCATTTTATTTTTTGTTTCCTGTTCATTCGCTCTTTTTTCTTGTTCTCTTTGGTTTATCCTGCCTTTCTGTAGACTACTTGAACATTCTTCAGAATTCCATTCTGACTTATCTGTAGTGTTTCTGAGTGTACCTCTTTGTATAGTCTTTTTAGTGATTGCTCTTGGCATTACACTATAAATATACGTACATATGTGCATCTATATATAACGTTTCACAGTCTACTGATATTGTCAAACCACTAGTTTGAGTGACATAAAGAAACTGTACCTCACTTTGCATTCCTTCGCCCTCCCCTGTTTATAATACAGTTGTTGTAAATATTTCCCTGCTCACTTTTAGAACCACATTGCACGGTGTTACATCTACAAAGTGCTCCCTGTACCTTTGGAGAGAGCGCGCAGGCTTTGTTGGGGCTTCTTTCGTTGCTCCCCTCGCATTTCTGAGTCACTGGCTCTTCTGGCGCCTGGCCTGGGATGCGGAAGGCAGAGAGAAACCTGGGACACTCATTTCCGTGCTGTTTTCAGGCCCCCGGGCTCCCACCGGGTCTTCTCACCACCTTTCAGAATTGCCTTTTGTTTGTTTTATGCAAAATGTCCAGGGTTTTAGTGATGCATCATGGGAAAAGTGATGTCCAGGGAAAAGTAGGTTGACTCCATCTTCCTGGAGGTGAAAGTCCTCTTGTGTCCTTTTGGCCTGCTCATCACTTTATGTGAGCACCTTAAACGTTTTTGGCATGACCAGATATTCCAGGTTCATCGTGCACTTTCTCATGCCCACTGTAGAAAGCCATTTCTCCAAAAAGCCCTGGTTCTGTTTATGGCCCCCACAGGATTTTGAAATGGGTGAGAACAATAGGTCTGCTCACTACATTACAAGGAAGGCGAGTTTCAGAGCAAATTCTGCCATACCTATAAACACTTCCTAACTAAATTCTTTTTTCTCAAAGCACAAAAGAAACTGTCTTGCAGGCTTGAGAAGTGCTAGCTCTGTGGTTTTACAGGTGTTCCAAACTGCACGCACGACAGGTCGTGGTGACAAAGTCCAGCTTCACAGGGTCAGTGTACTGGCCCCTTCCCTGCAAGCACCAAGCAGACAGGACCTTCCAGAGTCTACCTTGGCTCAGGACCAGGGAGAAGTTTTAGCCTAGGAAAGCCTGTCTGTAGGTAAAGAGGGCAGATCACACCGGTTGTCTCAGAAATTCATGCACGGGCCGTGAGTGGCTCTAAGGTACATTGAGCTAATCCATGTTTCTCGAATGCCTTTGCTTTCACCAGGGATGGCCCCTGTTTAAAATTCAGCATTGCTCGTCAGCAGGCCACTATTTTAATAAAGGACAAGCACAGTGCCCATTGTCGGTAGGCACAAGGACTTCCGGTGCCCTGGTAGGAGATTCCTCTGGAGAAGGGGCTTTCTGCAGCGGAGGCCGGCGGAGCACTGCGGGGCAGGGCAGCCTTGATGGGCCTACCGCGGGACCGCAGCGAGAGCTTGGCCTGAGGAGCATTTACACAGAATGTCCTGCAGTATACGCTTAATACCTTAAATTAAATAATGTAGCAACACTATGCTTCAGCACGACAGGCACTCCACACATTTCGGTGGAATCGAATTAAATTAATACTAATGAAATCTATACTTAGGAGCCCTTTTAGGTATCACCAGAGGGATGCCATTATTAGCAAATATTTATTGAGCAACTACTACTTGCCTGAACCTGAAGAAGGCCTTGATACAGGGAGGGAGACGGCTGTCAGACCCTGCGCCCCAGGGCAGTGGGCCTGGGCGCCCTGGTCACTGGCGCATCTCCTGGCTGGCGCCCAGGAGCCTCACCTGCATCGTGCTTGACTGGAGGCCGAGCACGGAGGGGAGGGAGCCCAGGGAGCTGGGCTGCCAGGCAAAGGAGCTGGTAGAGAGAGGAGAGAAGGAATTGAATAGCTTCCCTGGCAGGTGCTGATGAGCTTTAAGGCTGCTTTGAGAAGGAAAGAAGAAAGGGCTAAGGTGACCCTTAACTCCCTACCCGTGAGGGTAGCTGTGTGTTCCTCTTATTGCCACTGGGGTAGATAGGTGAGTCTCGGTCTCTTTCGCCATCTGTCTTTGTTGGACTGGAACTCTGTGTCCCCTGCCTCTCCCCCTCCCTTGGTCCCTCCTCTTCTTCCTTCCTTCCCTCCGTCCTTATTTCTCTCTGCCTCTGTCACTGGGTCTTTCTGTGTCTGTTCTCTGTTCCTGCCTCTCTCATCTGTCTGTCTCTCTGCATTTACCTCCTGTTTTTCCTCTCTGCCTTTCTCTGCATCTGTCTCACTGGACTGCCTGTCTTGCCTTTCTGTCTGTCTTTCTCTGACATTCCTGTCTCTCTCCATTTCCGTGTGTCCTTGCTCTTTCTTC